TATGTTCAGGGCACTTCAAATTTTGGCATCAGGTATATGAAAAGCAAATCCAACAATCTTGTTGCTTTTACTGACAGTGATTAGGTTGGTTGTGTAGAAGACAGAAGAAGCACAACAGGTTATGTTTTTAATCTTAGCTCAGGGGCAATTTCTTGGGCATCAAAGAAGTAGCAAACTACTGCCTTGTCAAGCACAGAAGCTGAGTACATTACCGCAACAACTACAGCATGTCATGTTGTTTGGTTGAGAAGAATTTTGGAGGACTTGAAGCAGAAGCAAGGTAGACCAACTGTGATATTCTACGAAAACAAATCCACTATTGCAAAATCCAAGAATCCAGTCTAGCAAGGCAGAACCAAGCACATTGAGACGCGATTCCATTTCATTTGTGAGCTAGTTGCAAAAGAAGAAATAGAGTTGCAGCACTACTACACTGATATTCAGCCAGCAGATATTCTCACAAAGGCTTTAGCAAAAGATAAATTCAAGAAGTTCCGGTCCATGTTGGGAGTGCAAGACCTCGTTGAATTAAAAGAGGGAATGTTGGAGAGTAATTCACACGTGGGCTTTCAAGGCAGACTTGGTCTTTAGTTGTTATATGTTTTGTTCCACTTATTTAGGTCTCTGTTATTAAGTAGTTCTATAATAATGTGATAATGCTAAGAGGTTGAGAATATGTAGGAGTTTTCTATTATGTGTCATTGTTGAAGTATGCTATTTGTTAGAAATTTTAGGAAGTGGAGCTACATGTGTGAAACAGAGCAAGTGTTGGAGTCTATTTAAAGACTTGATGTTAGTCCAAAAAGTATTGTAAGCTTACTATTATTGGTCAGTTGATTTGGTATTCAATAAAATTATTTGAGTCCTTGTGTGCTAAAATTTCTTTGTGAGTGGTTGTGAGTAATTCTTCTATATATTTTCTAACACATTATATGAATTTTTCTAGTCCTTGTATTAGGGAACTCTTAATACTAAACTACCAAGTAGTCAACAACCAAACACAGAAATATTTATTGAAATTGTAGTGTGTTTAATTTCCAAAGAATCGTTTTCCTTTGTAGGCCGAGCAAGATACTGATGAGGTCTATGCACAAATTCATTTGATTCCAGAGTTAGATGTAAGTACTTTTCTTTCTCTTCGAATGTTGATGTTTCTGCATGCTTTAAGATTGCTCATGAGCAACAGGCAAAATTTTTGTTGTGAGGTTTACGTAATTCTTAAGTTTATAATTATGTGAAACTATTTGTAGCCAACTGAGCCACGAAGTCTTGATTCATGCCCTCTTGAGCCTCCAAGACCAACTGTCCACTCATTTTGTAAGGTTTTGACTGCCTCTGATACAAGCACTCATGGCGGCTTTTCTGTTCTTTGAAAACATGCTACAGTTGCAAGTTATTGATTGACTCTTGTTTGGACTACTTTTTGTTTTTCAAGACATGATCCAGCCCACACCAACCCAAGAATTAGTTGCCAAGGATCTTCATGGTGCTGAATGGCACTTTAAGCATATCTTTAGAGGTGATTTTTCCTTTTCCTTTACTGTCCTTGTGCTACAGTTGTAAATTTTGAAAAGAGGCATTTGTTATTCAAACACAAAGATGAACTACCAACAATAAATAGACATTTTGTGGGATTCAAAGGCGAATACTCTTTTTTTTTCAAGCCTGAAAATTTCCCTTTGACTAAAAATTTCAAGCCACCCACGGGGGCACTTGTTTACAACATTATGGAGTACATTTGTTACTTTTAAGAGATTAGTTGTCGGGATACTTTTGTATTTCTTAGGTAATTTTCATGTCTATTTGCCTCTTCTCATCCTTTTTTTGGAGTTTCTAACTCCCATAGACTTTTTGTGTTGACAATTATATTTGATAATCTTATTTTTCTATGTAATTTTTTATTACATCTTACTAAAAATAATTTGATATCTAGGGGGGAGAATGGGGAATTACGCGTTGGGTTAGACACCTTACTCGTCAAAAAAGCTCCATGCCATCGTCAGTGCTTTCAAGTCAAAGTATGCACCTAGGAGTGCTTGAAACTGCATCTCATGCTGTAACTACTCAAACCCCTTTTGTTGTTTTCTACAAGCTGAGGTACTATATATTAGTCCTTTTGATGAATTTGAAATGATTTTTTTGCTGCAGAAATCTTATTAAATTAGTAATTTTTGTTATGGTTTCATTTTCAAAAATTCAGGACGAGTCAATTTATTATAGGGTTGAATAAATATCTAGAAGCTATTGACCATGGATTTGTAGTTGGCATTAGATTTAATATGCGATTTGAAGGGGAAGATTCTCTAGAAAGAAGGTAGTGTAATATCCATAGGATGGTTTTAGAAAGTTGTGTATAAAGTTGCTATAAAAATTCTTTTGATTGATCAGGTATACAGGGACTATAGTTGGGGTTGAGGATATTTCTTCTCAGTGGAAAGATTCTAAATGGCGATCATTAAAGGTTAATGTCCTTCACCATCTATTTTCTATTTATTTGTAATTATGGCGGAGAAGAAAAGTAACACTCCTTATTTTGCCTAGGTTCAATGGGATGAGACTGCATCCATTGCAAGACACGATGGGGTTTCTCCATGGGAGATATAATCTTTTTCAGCTTCTGGTCCTACAAGTCTGGTTCAACCAGTGCTAGTGAAGAATAAAAGACCCCGACCACCAATTGAAATCCTAGTTCTTGGTGGGCTAATCATCCCTTCTTTCTTTCAATGTTCTGTACATTGTCTAGATGTATCATAATTTCTTTTCTTTTTTTTTTGATTTTGTCTTCTTCTGCCATATGTGTTATAGATACTGCGTCTTCAGCTGTCTGGCATTCCTCACATAATTCAATGTCTTCAGTTGTCTGGCATTCTTCACATGATTCAATGTTTTCAGCTGTTTGACATCCCTCCCTCCCATGATTCAACTAAATTAAGTGGTACTGCCAACAGACAGAGGACCGAGAATCATATTCAAACTCCCATGAACTGTAATCGAAACGGTATTTTGAGGATGCAAGTGGAGGGAGGTTGGACATCCTCTTCCCATGTAACTGTTTCTCGAAAGATGAATATTGATGAAACTGAAGAAAGTAGAAGTGCTTCTGTTTGGTCTATTCCCTCACACTATTCGACTCTGCACTCAACGAAGCAGAGCAATGACCTAATGCCTAACCTATTTGATGGAAGATCCGACACTGTTGCAAGCTTCCAATTGTTTGGAATCGACTTGAAAAGTCGTGCCATAGGTGCCCTTCTTGTTAAGAAGGCTCCTTTAAAACTAGTAAGTGTATCCAATGTCGCTGCTGAAGGAAATCTACTGAGTGTTGTGTCAACTATTGTTTCAGACCAAAATTCTGAGCTTTCAAAGGATTCCAAAGAACATAAGCTAGAACTGTTGCAGGTGTCACCAAAGGAGGTTCAAAGCAAACAGAGTTGCTCTGCTAGAAGTCGTACCAAGGTGAATGATAATTGGAAGGCAAAAATTAAATTTTCTTTATTTTCAATAACCAGTATTTGAGTTTCTTTGCCCTTACAAGTTGTTAAGCCAGCATTTTTGCATTGTCTGAGAAGGTTCAAATGCAAAGGGTTACAGTGGTTTGTGCTGTGGACTTAACTGCATTGAAAGGGTACGACGACCTTATTAGTGAACTAGAAAAGATGTTTGGAATCAAGGGAGAACTTTGTCCCCGGAGAAAATGGGAAATAGTCTTTACAGATGACGAAGGTGATATGATGCTCATGGGTGATGATTTGTGGCCATAAGTATTCTTACAGATTTGGTTATTTAGAACTACAAATGGGAAATTACCTTTTCATTTTAATGTCTTGATTTTCCATCAAGTTGATGTTTGTATTATTCTCTTAAAGGGAATTATGTAACATGATGAGAAGGATCCTCATTTGTTCTAGCCAAGATGTGAAGAAAATGAGTGCAGAAAGCAAGCTTCCTCTATTTACCGTAGACAATGAGGGAACTACAATTAGCTTGGATGTTGTTCAAAGCTAGTAATGTAACTTTTTCGTTTGTTTTTTTTTTTTTTTTTTTTTTGGAGGGGGGGGGGGGGGGGGGGGGGGTTGATGAATTGGGTTTCGGATTAGGCCATTGGCCAGAATATTACAGATGAGTGAGGGGACACGGGCTATCTGTTGCTCATTTTTGGAGCACTTTCAAACATTAGCCATGTATGAAGAATGAAAACACTAAACTGTATTAGGGGAAATTCGTATTGACGGGTAGGATTAGAATCTGTGCATATCAGGGGTGTTTTTGTTGGCTATTGATGAGTTTTTTTCATTTCCAATGCTTGTAAATACGTGTAGTTGTACTTGGACAATGTCCCAGTGAATGGAAGCTTGCAAGCTTTATGTAGCATTGTTTACTAAACTGATTTAATCGAGCAGTAAATACATTCATTGGTGCCTGGTTTTCACCATGGTTTCTCTTATCCTCTCTCCTTTTTGCTTGTTCAGGTTACTTAAATCGGTATCATGTAGTCTATCTAGGATTAAGCTTTGAATGAGCATGCGTGAACTTACATTTGCATCTTTGTGTTTCGTTTACTTTGATCTTGTCCTGGTTTTTCGTTCCTCTAAATTTTCTTGATTCTTCAGCCAACAGATTCAAATGGATCCCCTACAGTTAACGATGTTGTTATATGAAAAAGAGCAATGCTCCTTGGGTAAAAAATATTGACAATATTTGTTTACTCTCAGCATTATTGTCATTAATTTACCTGTAGGCCCAATAAAAAAAAAAAAGTAAGATTCTATGTGTGAGTTTGAACTTTTTCTTCAAATCAATCCTCTGGGAATGGATGTGAGTATTTACAAAAATAAATTTTTCAGATCTAGCCCCAAAAAATTACTAAAATTCGAAAGATGACTCCTTCCTGTTACTGGCTACCTCTTGCTCTAACATTTCTCTTCCCAAACAAAAAAGACAGTCCACTTGCATCTTAATGCCTTGAGTATAAATAATGAAGACCTTGCCTCTCTTTACAGGTGTGGTAGAAGAGAAATGGGTGGTCTTAAGGGGACGATTACTAAGAACATTACCATGCAACATCCTCTTCTTCACACGGTGGTGGCCTTTCGTCGCACACGGCTGAACCGTCTCTTCACCATTTCATACATGATCACCATCTTTGCCCTACTATACCACCATTTGCTCAATCTAGCCAACTCCACCAACGTTTTCTCTCTATCCATGTTCCTAGTCAATCTTGTGCTTGCTTTTATGTGGACAACTGCTCAGGCCTTTCGTATGAGTCCAGTCCGTCATGAGATTTTTCCCGAACACCTTGCGAACACAATGAAAGAGAGCGATTTTCTGGCGCTAGATGTGTTTATATGCACTATGGATCCGTTGAAAGAACAACCAATGACCGTAGTGAACATGGCTTTATCAGTGATGGCGTACGAAAATCCGACGGAGAAGTTGTCGGTGTACATATTGGACGATGGAGGCACACAGTTGACATTTAATGAGTGCACGAAAGTGCTTTCTAAATACATTATTATTAGATTAAAATAATAAAATGTGAATAGAAATAATTAGATATAATTTATATTATTGAATTTAATATCTATTAATACTAAGATATATTTGAGCATGATTTTATAATATTTTAAATCTTAAATATTACATTATTACTTGGTGAGAGATAATTTACAATAAGACTTTACACTTAGCATTTTTGGGATTTTATTATTCGACTTTTACATTTGCTTTTATTTTGATGGCAGCCCATGGAGTAAAAAGGATGAAATTGATGCAGCTATCATGGTGGACCCTCAGTAGATTTGGGCGTTGTCCTTTTCAACATGTATGTTGGTTTTGGCCTTTAGAGGCTGAAATAAAGAGAGGAGGAAAAGGGTTTTTCTTAAAGAGATTGACTTTTAACTTCTTCTTTTTCTTGGAGGCGACTGTTCTTGGCTTGGGGGGCAGACACGAATCAGGGAGGAGGAGAAAAATGCCGATGCCTACTATTTTGATCTATTTTTCTGGGAAATTTTTGTTGTCCATTATATATATGGGTAACTAAATTTTTAGGTAAGACGAGGGATGAACTTGCATAGTAGATAGTATTTTATTTATTTTTAATTTATGCATTTTATTTCTAATTACTAAAACTCTTTTGCTTTATCATTCTCAATTTATTGTTGATGTTTTCTTCTCCGAATAGTCATAGAATTTATTCTATTTATGGATTTAGTTAGCATTTTTTCTATTGAATGAATTAGCTCTTTGATTATATTTGGATCAATTACTTATGTATATTGATTTAATTCTCTGTTGCAATATCGCTTTTTGAGTATATTGTCGTTGTTAGACTTTTTTAATAGTAATAATAATTTACATATTTTCAAAGTGGTAAATAATTTTTCAAAGGATTATATTTGGTTTAATCTTGGTTTATAAATCTATATCTTCCGATTGGAAATTTTGGAAATTGAGTTCCCAATTGAGTTATTCAATGAATTAAGAATAATTAAAATACCAGATTTGTGCAAAGAATTTCCGACGCTTTATCGTTTGCCAAATTTGAGTACTTTTTATGTTAGTCATTTTGCTTCACTTTAAGTTACATTTAAACTTAATCTTTGTTCTCTAGTAATCATTTAATATTTTTTTTTTAGTTCCTTTGTTCCTTCTACTATTCTTTTAGTTTGTCTCTTAATGAAATCGACACCCCAAAGTTGTGTTATACCTACCGTGTTATTCTTTGGGTATAATGAAATTTTGATACTGTTGTCGGGGAGACAATAGAAGAATTGCTAGATATTTTTTATTTTCAACAGTTGGCAAAGGCGGTAACTTCGTTCCTTCTTTTAGCTTGTTGCATTGTTATTATTATTATTATTATTATTATTATTTCTTCTTCTTTCTTTTTATAGTATTTTTATTCTTTTAGTATTTTGCTGCCTTGCATGCACAGATATAGAGACGCCTTGGGTAGATTTGCTTCCAGGCCTGTGATAGAGTTAGAATCAAATTTTTTAAATCCTTTATTTGACAATCCAACAAGTCCCGAAGAAATTGGTGAACACAAAGATCAACATATTAGAACTCTTCATGATTACCGCCACTCTACATGCACAGTCACACCATCATGCATCATGTTTCCAACTAATACTCACCAATTAGATTTTAAAACAGGGATGATATAGTTTCTCCCTACTTTTCATGGCTTGGAAAATGAAAATCCATATGCGCACATTAGGGAGTTTGAGGAAGTAGTTGGAACTTTTCATAATCAAATTGCACTTAATGATGTTGTGAGACTCAAGTTCTTTCCTTTCTCTTTGAATGATAGAGCTAAGAGTTGGCTATACTCGCTGAGACCACGATCTATTGGGTCATGGAGTGAGATAACTCAGGTCTTCTTTAATAAATATTTTCCCCTAAATAAGACCAATGCTTTAAAAAGACAAATCTCCACCTTTGCCAAAAGGACAATGAGACTTTGTATCAATCTTGGGAGAAATTTAAGGAGTTGTTCAGTGTGTGTCCTCACCATGGGTATGAGAATTGGTGCTTAGTGAGCTATTTTTATGAGAGACTTACACCTAGAGAGCACTAATTTGTGGAGATGATGTGTAATGGTGAGTTCTTATAAAAAGATCCTGATGAGGTCATAGAATACCTCAATGAGCTTACTGAAAAGTTCACACTTGGACTGGACCTAATGTTACTGAAAGCACAAATAAGTCACAACTTGCAGGAAACTCAAATTGTGGTGGAATTTATCCTCTCAGGGAAGAGGATAGCCTAAAGGCTAAGGTTGAGATGCTCACTAGGAAGCTAGATGCGTTAAAGACTAAGGACTTAAAGCCAACACACTTGGCTAATCATGCAGAGTCTTTTGGACCATATTTTGTGTGTGGCGGGATAGATCACCTCGCCCAAGAATGTCCCACGCTTGCTGAGATGAGAGGGATGTATGAGGAACAATATAATACCTTAGGTATGTACAAGAAGCCTTTTACACCTTACTCTGATACCTATAATCCGGGATGACGCAATCACCCCAACTTTAGCTAAAAATCTGAAAATCAGCCTCCTGCACAACCCCCTAGATCATATCTTGCACCTTATCATGCACTTTTATCTTTTAGGAGTCCTTTAGAAGACATTTTGCATGCTTTTATTGAGGGACATGGTAAGACTAACAAAAAGTTTGAGTCTTTGATTATGTAAGCTATTGAAGAAAACAAAGAGATAAAGAGTCAAGTGTCCAAATTGATAAGCTCCTTGAGTGTGAGTGAGTGAGAGAAGTTCCCTTCTCAAGCTCAGTCCGCACCTCATGGTCAACACATGGCGCAAGAGAATTTGAAGGATGTGAATGTCATTGTGACACGAAGTGGTGATTCATTACACATCCCAACAATGAACAAATAGAGGATGTAGAAAAGGATCAAGATAATAGTGATGCCGAGCTATCCAAGGAACCTGAGGTGACAAAGAATCTTGTTAAGGTACCACTCCCTTAAGCTTTAAAATTAAGCAAGCAAACTCTAGATCCTAACAATGAAATCCTAGAGAATCTAAGGCAGGTAAAAATCAATCTTCCTCTTTTGCATGTGGTTAAGCAAGTTCCTACTTATGCAAAAGTTTTCAAGGATTTGTGTACAGTTAAGAGGAAGCACCAAGTGAAGAAGACAACGTTCCCGACAGAGCAAGTTAGCGCACTAATTGAGCAGCGGATTCCTCCCAAATACAAAGATCCTGGTTGTCCAACCATTGCGTGCAGCATTGAAAATCATGAGTTTGGCAAGTTTTGCTAGATTTAGAAGCTAGCGTGAATCTAATGTCATATTCTATTTATTTACAGTTGGGGTTGGGAGAAATCAAATCAATCACTATGGTATTACAATTGGCTGATCGTTCAGCCAAAGTACCTTGGGGTGTGATAGAGGATGTTCTAATTCAAATTGACAAATTTTATTATCATGTTGATTTTCTAATTACTTGACACTAGCTCTGTTGTTGATACTACTTTTAAAATTATTTTGATTTTAGGTAGGCATTTTCTTGCCACTACTAATGCTCTTATTAATTGCAGAAATGAGCTCATGAAGCTGTCTTTTAGAAACATGACTCTCAAGATAAATATTTTTCATATTACAAAACAACTAGAAGATGATGATGAATGTCATCAAACATACATGATTGACTCATTCATGGATAGGGGAGTTTCTATAGCTCATGATTTTGATCCCCTTGAGTATTTTCTTGTACATTTTGAGTTTGATTCTATCAACGATCCATCTGATGTTGATATTTGTGCTCTTTTTGATAGGACTTAGGACTGTAGCACTCGGGCATGGCAACCAAAGTTTGAGGAGTTATCTGAGAAAGGTGAAAAATAAATTCCTTCAAGTGTGGAAGCACCCAAAGTTGAATTGAAGCGTCTGACTAAGGGTTTAAAGCATGCTTTCCTTGGTCCAGGTGATACTTTTCACGTTATTATCTCATCTGAATTATTTGAGTCTCAATGTGAGAAATTAATTTGGACCCTAAGTGAGTATAAGTCAGCCTTAGGTTGGAGCATTGATGATATAAAAGGTGTTAGTCCCCTAGTTTGTTCTCATAAAATTAATTTGGAGGAAGGAACTAGCCCTCATAGAGACCCCCAGCGTAGACTTAATCCCACTATGAAAGAAGTGATGAAGAATGAAGTGCTGAAACTATTAAATGCAAGAATCATATATCATATTACTGATAGTAAATGGGTAAGTCCTACACAGATTATTCTTAAAAATTCAGGTGTTATTGTGGTGAAGAATGACTTGGGAGAGTTAGTCCCTACAAAACTAGTGATTGGGTGGTGGATGTGCATTGATTATAGAAAATTGAATGTTGCCACCCAGAAAGACCATTTTCTTTTCCCTTTTATTAATCAAATTCTTGAGCCTTTGACTATTAATCTTTTCTATTATTTCTTGGATGGCTATTCTGGTTATTATCAAATTGAAATTGCATTAGAAGACCAGGATAAAACCACTTTCACTTGTCCTTTTGGTACTTATGCTTTTCATAGAATGTCATTTGGATTGTGTAATGCACTTGCTACTTTTCAACGTTGCATGATGAGCATTTTTAGTGACATGGTTGAAAATTGCATGGAAGTTTTTATGGATGACTTAACTATTTTTGGATTTTCTTTTGATGCATGCTTATTGAATTTAGAGAGAGTGTTGACTCATTGTGAGGAAAAGAAATTGGTTTTGAATTGGAAGAAATGTCACTTTATGGTACCTTCAGGTATTGTCTTAGGACATATTATTTCTTCTAGAGGGATAGAGGTTGATCAATCTAAGATTGAATTAATCTCTAAGTTGCCTACACCTAGGACAGTAAAAGATGTGAGATCCTTTCTTGGTCATGCGGGCTTTTATAGGAGGTTCATACAAAATTTTTTCACCATATCTAGACCACTATGTGACCTCCTAGCTAAAGATGCCCCATTTGAGTGGACACAAGCTTTTCAAGAGGCCTTTAAAATGCTAATTGGCAAGCTTACCTCAACA